CTTAAATTTCACATAATTAACATTATATATTCCTTTAATATATTAAGTAAATTAGAGGTTATATTTTTTATTTATTTTTCACAAGATTAGAAAATAAATACATATGAGGTAAAAAAAAAAATAACACCCGAGACAACGCCCGAACCACACACTAACTATACAAACAGTCAAACATAATTGTCAAATTAAAGAAGTACAAGCTAGCAACCCGGGGCATCGTCCGGGCCACAAACTAGTAGAAAACTAAAAAACAAAGAAAAAAGAATGAATCTTACTATTCAAAAATTCAAAAACAATTGCTCAAAGTAACAACCGGGGCCACGCACAAGTTAAATCTTAATATAGTGTTGTATTGTGTAGTGAAAGTTTTCTAAAGAAAATAATTTAAAACAAAGATAAAAACATTTAAAACTTCAAAATAAAGTAAAGATACAATTATGAAAATCTACAAAGTTTTTTTTTAGACAGGGTGGTATAGTCTCTTTTTTTTCTTTTGTGCATTAAAAGGATAATATTTTTTTTGGGAAAAAACATAATTTGGTTGAAATCATTCAAAGGGCTACAAAGAAGTTTACTTAAATATGATTTCAATCATAGTGAAAGTTATCTTGGAAAATGTCTAGAAAAAAACTAAGTTAACAACATAATGTTGAGCAATACTATATAGAGTATTGATAATGGATAATAAAAATTAACATATTCAAATCTTAAACTATAAGAGCAATATTATAGTTGAAACAATTACAAAATGAACAATACAATTAAATTAAATTCTAGTCAAATATAATACGAAGTAACTTTCTAAGAAAATGACTAAAAAAAAAAAAAAATATTCGAGGAAATTTTTTTTACAAAAATTAACACGTATCATTCTCGGTGTCTTATAATAATAATAATAATAATAATAATAATAATAATAATAATAATAATAATAATAATAACAACAATTACAATAACAACAATAATAACAATAATAAGATGATTTAAATTGAATTGATCATAAGATTGAGAATTGATCACCTAATTGAATTGAACTTAGTAGAATTTGAATTCTGAAGAGAAATAGAAGTCTAAAAGAATATCATGGCATTATAAGGCTTATTCGCAAATTAGATGACGCAGTGTATAGTGCTCACTGTGCATTAATGCGGTTCAAAAAACAAACCCAATAAACAAAATGATTGACTTCCCATTAAAGGTAATTTACAAGTCGGGCCAATTCGGGCTTTGGCCAAAAAAAATGTGGCTCATTTCAGGCCAAGACTTTTAGGTTGAGGTAGACCTAACTTTCGGCTGAAATATTGTGTCCAAACCCGCTTTTAGTTTGTAGGGCCAAAAATAAAAGGCTTTTCGGAAAAACTAGGTTGGGCCTAATTTTTAATAAAATAAAATTATAGGTTACCAAAACCTTTTTTTTTTTTTTGTCTTTTTCAGATGTTCAAATTAAAAAAAAAAAGAAAATATAATAAATAAGAAAACAGAAAAATGAGGTGGTTAAACACAAAAAAAAAAAAAGGCTTTTAAAGGGTTGTAAAATACAAAATTTCCTATGAAGTGAATATATTAATTTTTGAATAGTCATAATAAAAATAAATATTGTTAAAATCCACATTTTAAATTCACCTTTTGTGAAAACCATATTCTAAAAAAAGATGAATTAATATTTATTGTTGAAAAAGAGAAGCTAGCCATTTATTTGGCGTCGGCCCTGATAATGTTGTCTTAGATGAACCCCCCTCCCTAAAAAAAAAAAAAATACCCTGTCTCTTTCCTCTTTGTATTTTTTTCCCTCGTACTCCCTTTTCTTTATCTCTCTTCACCTCCATTCTTGTCTTCGACTTAATTGACCTTCCTTGTTTTTCTCTTTCTTTATCTCTTCTCACACTATATCTTATATTATATTCATCAATCTATCATTTAACAAAAATAAATCATTTGGACAATTTTTTTTTTACTCTTCATTAACCATATACCCAGCCACCAAAAATCTTGCATAAAATCAATAAAAAATATTCAAAATGTTTAACATTTAAATACCACAAAAAAAAAATCCCCTATTTTTAACACTAAAAAAGTTAATTAGATTTTATTAATATTACTAGTAGCATCCAAACATTCAATTTTCTAGGTTATAATTTGAAAATCTATAAATGGCGAACTATCAACCGCATAATCTTCATCATGTAGGGTCAAAAGTTTTTTTTTTTAGCAATTATCGATTTCGGGTAATAATACAGGTGGTGGAAGTGATCTGATGGTAATTGGATTGTAGGTGGCCAGTTAATGGCGGTAATGGGTCATCAATTTTTGTTGGGTTTAGGTTCAAGTGATGGATTTAATTTAGGTCATGAAGGTGTCAATGTTGAGCTTGGTATTAGTGGGTGCAATGTGGCTTGGGTTTGCCTTTATTTGGAACTCAATTTGGATCATGACAGATGATTTAGATGTCTTGGAGTAAGCAAGTGATTTAGATTACTTATCAGCATGTTAATGAAAATGAAGAAAATAAGGAAGGTTAAGAAACTCATGTAGTATGTTTGGATTAAAAGGGGGGGGGGGAGAGGAAGGAAAGGGAAGGGAAGGGAAGGAAGAATGACGAGTTTTCCTTCCAAATCTCTTTACTGTTGGAGTGATCAATTTCTTACAATTTAATCCTGCCATTTATCGCCCCTTCAATTCCTTCCTTCCTTATTTGTCATCCAAATGAATAATACTTCATCCCTTCATTTTCTTCAATCCAAATAAAACATTAGAGAACAAATCCGAGAGAATAAAAAAGAGGGAAAGAAATACAAAGGGGAAAGAGAAAGGAATTTATGGTAGTTCATTTCAGGTCACGTGACTACTACATGACTGGCTGGACAATGCTTGAATTTATGGTCAAATTCTCTTTTCCGTCGGAACAAGTAGTCAATTTCTCTGTCCTGATAGTAGTTAATATTAGATTTACTTTAATACTACAACATACTTTGTATTTGTTACTTCCTCTGTGTTTTAATTACACCATTTGGATTAAACTATTCACACACCTCTTCTATTTTATACGGACTACATAAGAAAAAAATATAGCAAAAAAGTATAGTTGTATTGAGTCTAGTTAGGTTCGCTACTAAAACCAAACTAAAGAATATTAATGTCTAAACTTTTGCTTTGGCAAACGTGAAAATCCAAATGGGTGCAATATGAAAAGCAGAAGAAATACATAACAAGATAGAATTGAGGCCTTTAGAGTTTTTAAGCTGAGCATACAAGTTGCACCTGCTATAGGCCAGGATTGGTATCAATAAACTCTACTATCACCTGTTTTAGGATGTAGCTAACTCATCGTTAGAGAAATCAGATTAAATTTGTGTCCCATAGTGAAAGATATGGTAAAACAAAACATTCATTTTATAACACAAGTGGAGCTCTTATATACAACTAGGTTAGTTCCCGTGCCATGCACGATAATTTTTGATAACTATTTTTAAATTAACAAAGAATTTTTCTAAAATATTATATGGAGTTTATGAATTTATTATAAAAGAGCCTATAATGTATTTAGTTATTATATATAAAAAAGCCTATTAGCCAGATAGCTATTTTTAAAACGCATTTGACAATATGTATATTTTTATATATTTAATTTCATCGACAAATTGGTACAATTTTCTTGTTGTTAACCATATGAATTTCTTAAAACATTGTACATTACACTCTGTAGTCCGTATGTATGTCACAAATTATGTTAAGAAGCTTCCCCCCCCCCCCCCTAAATTTATAGTTGTTACAATATTTATTTGTAGAATGATACAACAAATCTTCAATTTTAATTATTGTTTTGATATTTGAAATTCAAATTGCTTTCTTGGAGCTTTTTAACATATAATTAAATAAAAAATAAATAAAATTATTGTTGTAATAAGTAGTACATAACATTTTGACACAATTTATGTTAAAAATTTGATTTACTATTTATTTTTTTTACCTAAGTTTATATAGTTGTCAATGTATATATATATAATTTTTTTTCTTTTTTTTGGTGTTAAGAGAGCCACAAGGGCGAGTGATGAGAATCGATCCCAAGATCACCTACAATCGGGAGGGCAACTCTAACCACTTGAGCTATCTCTCACTCTCGTTAATGTATATATTATGGAAAAACATATCAAATCTTTTATTTATGTATTATTTTGCTATCTTTTTTTTATTTATGTATAAGATTTGTTTGCTAAAGATTTTTTTTTTTAAAATGACACGTGTCATTGTTGGTGTATGTTTTAGTATATAGTTATTATTATTATTATTATTAATTGATATAGTTATTAATTGATTGGTTTGAGGATAAAACCTTTCTTTGGACTTTTAAGTAAGTTTATCTCTATTGTGTTTCTCAGACTCCCCTCCAACCGTTATAACAACATAAAATCCAACTTACCCTTCTTAATATACACATCACTTCAATTTTTTCCATTTAATATTCAAACTTTGACAACATTTATTTTTGACTCTTTCATCATTTATTCATAATTTGACCACATGTATTACAAATAATATTTATGTAAAGAAATATGTCATTATGTTAATGAAGTATACATTATACACTACGTAAAAATTCAAAACAATGCATCCATTGTAAAACGAAAGTAGTACACCTTAAACCAATAACATGAAAAAAATAAAATTATAACTAAAATTATGTAAACAACATTATATTTATATTTATATTATTATTATAATAGAAAAAATTTGGTTCCTAGAATGAAGGAAAGAAAAAACAGAGTAGCGCGAGACACCTCCACCAAAACTCAAAAATATAAACTCACTATTCTCTCTACACTTCTCTTTCTATACTTCACCCCCACAAGAATCGCTCTCCTTCTTCTCTCCTTTCTCTCTCCTCTTTCTTCTTCCTTTATCTCTCTTTTTTTTTTTTTTTTTTTTTTTTTTTTTTTCCTTCTACATTTTCCCTGCAATTTACACCCAATTCCCAGAATTCTGTAAGTTTTTCTCCTCTTTTTTTTTGCATTTTTTTTCTGGGTTTTTCTCCTACTTAATTGCTTCTTTTACTTCTTTTTGTGGCGGGAACAATTTGTTCACTATGTTTTTATTTTTTTGTGTTATTATGTTTCAGATTACGTATTGGGTTTATGTTGTATTGTGATTTTGAATTTGTTTGTACAATTTTTATGTTGTATGCATGAAAGTATTGGATTTTTGTTCGTTTTTTGTTTCAATTGTTTGTGATTTTGTTTGGGTTAGTTCATGTTTTAGGGTTTTGAATAGATGATCGCTGCTTGTTTGTGTTGCATTGTTGATGTATAATGCCCAATTTATGCGTCTGATTGCTGAATATGTTTATGGGTATTGCATGATTTGTATCGTTTGTGGTTAATTTTGCTGGGTTCTTGTTGATTTTGTGAGGTACGCTTAGGGTTTTTGACTTTTTATTTTGCATGTAATGATACATTGTTTATTCGGGTTCGTTTTGATTCTGGGTTCGGACTGTTTTTGCGGTAGAACTTAGAAATATTGAGCTGACCATTGATAGTTAGTGGGATAGTTGTAAATTTATCAATTTTTTGGTTGTTCTGAAGGCATGCTAGGGTTTGCTTTTCGCCTCCATTGACGCATTGCTCGTGGGTGGGTGTGTCAAAGTGCTGGGCATCAATTGCTGACTTTTTGATTGAGTTGGACAATGCCGCTGCTCAAGAGGAAGCCATTCTCATTGTTGGAACCCCCCAGTGATTTACAGCCTCGAGAACTTGTCTTTCAAATTCGATTTACTAAAGAGATCTTTCGAGATTATCAGTATCCTCACATATGACCCTTTAAATTGAGTAAATGATTTATGTATTGCTTTTTTTTTTTTTTTTCTTATGTATTTGACCCCCCCCCCCTCTTTGGATTCCTTGATTCTAAATAGAGAATACTTGAAGCGGATAAATCTATATCGCCAACGAATATGGACATGTAAAGTAACTGGAAAGTCTAATTTTACATATGAGGAGGCTTTGGTCTCAGAGCAGCGTGCATCAGAGAAGGTTCAGCAGTTTCCTGAAGAGTTTATTGTTCCTACACTGCGAACTATTCAATATAGTGAGAGCTGCTACCTACATTATTTTATTGGTTACTTCCTTTAGCTGTGCTAAATTGATATCTGTTGATATATTTGCATATGCAAATATCATAAGCCATTGTTTTTGTAGTGCCTAGCCTTTTATCTAAATGCTGTTGCTAAGGAATCAGAAACTGCAGGCATATTCTTGAACTAATTGTTTATGGAGTTGCCTCTGCTTATTCTGCCCTGTAATTTCTGTCTTTTTCAACCTGTCCTTCAGTTTACCTGTTCTCTCTCTCATATATTTAACCACCCCCTTCTCCCGTTCTTGTAATGAAAGTCTTGTATTCTATTAGACAAAGTAATGCGGAAGGAAAGGTGTACAGAGGAGTGCATTGGGAAATTTGTTCCTGTAGATAGTGTTTCAGTGGTAAATATATACCATCTCTGACTTTGTGAATAGCGCTAGATGATATTGTCATCCAATCTTGGACCAAGTACTTGGCTATGCCTAGCTGAAATTGCGACCCTTGTTTGTAGCTTGGGTTGGCTGGGCTAGTCTTACCTACCTAGATAATTAAATTAGTGTAGACTACAGTAGTACTTTAGAAGGATGTATTACTCCATATACCCAAAGGATGAGGGTCTTGAATAGGTTTTAAAGAGGATTTACTACTGTACTCACCCTATATAATTCACTGTCCTGGAGAATAAGGTTCTGGACAATCTTTGAATCTAGTTAAGTGATTTAATGTGCTCAAAAGGCTTTCTTTTTCCTTGCCGCTGGAGCTGTTAAAGTAAGCTCAGTACAAGCATTGGCCTCTTGACTTTCTTAGTTATGCTTGTTAAGACTTTGTCTAAGATGAGGAGATTAATCAGATAATGGAGTGGTGACTATTTTGAGATATGGGATATATATGTGTTCATTTCTCTCAAGCAGCTTGTCTTTGATTTTGTTGTGGGTATATGAGTCACAAGCTGTGGAAAGTAACTCCAGATGAACTGTTTCAGTGACCCTCAAAGTTCTTTCTTCTTTTCTCATATTATATAGGATGGCTTGGTCAAGCACATATATGACTGGCTACATCCAATTCCTATGGGGAGGATATTTTTGAATAGTAACATGATGATCTGTTCATCAATGAGAAATCAGAGGCAATTCACACTGCTATGTTCTCCTCGACTTTATTTTGCTGACTTCTACTTAATATTGTCGAACTTAATTATTTCTGCTGATTTTACTCTAATAAAAATTGAGGAGAACATAGTCTCTCTCAGTTATTTATCGATTAGACTTGTATCATTATTGCTGATATTCATGCAATTAACATTTCTTTCTGACACTTTCTTTCATAGGCTTCAATAAGAATTTTTTATTACCTCCCATTACATATATCTTCTCCATCGCCTAAGCAAGACTTGGTTCATATAGTGAAATAGAGAAATCATAGCCTTCCATAGAAAAGATCTGCAATGGAACTTTATTAATTTAATTTATGGAGAAAATCGAATTGGGTTTAAGTCATCAATGGACCAAAATTTTATCAGGTTTTTTAGTTAACTATCTTTCAGTGGCTAGGAGTATTGACTGGAAAAATAGACTTTATTGTAGTTACTCCAATATGATCTGGAGTGTCATTAGATTACGTTTATTGGATGAACAGAGACATGTATTGTTTTCTGACTTATCCCTTAGGGTACAGGGGATAAGGAGATGTCACATTTAGTGACAACTTAGAATTCATGTAGAAATTTGTGGAAAGATAGATACAATGGCCTGGAAAGTTTGTGTATTTGACAGGCTACAATATATAAGAGGGTGTCACCTACAGTTCTTGTTCTAGCTCACCTGAAGGTGTGATGTATAGACGATTTGTGATGTCATGTTAGTGCTGGTTTGCTTGCAAATTAGTTAGCTTCAGCTTCTATTGGAGCATCTTGTTGTTGGTGATTTTCTCAAGTGCTTCATGCGCAAGGTACTAGTTGTGGATGTGTTTCCTTATATTATCATCTTTTGTTGAATTAAAGAGTCTCTCCTAAAGGAAGAGATTGATTGTAACACCTCTGTATTGAACATTATTCAGATTTCTTGGCCTATGTAGAATGTCCGGGCATCTGTTGTTATGTCAATTTTCTGTAATATTTTCTCTTCATTTTCAATATACAACCCTTTTTGTTGAGACATGTAGTTAGCTATGGACTCAGGGTCTGTAAGGGCATATTCTTTTTATTATTCTTACCTCTTACCTCCCTACTTCAATTCTTTCAGGCTTCTGGGTGATATCATGTTGGGTTATTTGTGTTTTCCTGACAAAGCCTCTTTGTTAATTAAAGGTGCTTCTTTTTCTTGTCATAATATCATGAAGTCCTTGTGATTTTGTCCTGCTACACTCCGGAAAAATCCAAGTCAGGGGGAGAAAGCTTAAGCATCATTCATGTACTTTTGCGTAATAGCTGAAAAGATTTCACACGGCAGCTGGTAGATTTCCTGCTTGGATGCTAATATGTGTGCTTAATGCAATGAGGTTGTTGCATTGAATCATTGATATCCCCTGGGGCTTCCTACCCCCCCCCCCCCCCCTCTTCTTTTTACATGACTGACATTCTTGAAAAACTCAAATTACTTTATGGTATTCTACTGTTCTATTTACAGAGTATTATGCTACTAGATTTTTTTTTTCCCAAAGATACTAGTAATAATGGAATTTGAAATGGGTTGAATATAGCCTGTTATGACTTATGAGTTTCATCTCTCCAATTGCATTTTGCCATGAGCCTGAAATTGTCTGTTGTCTTTCCTTTTGGATTGGGGACATTGTATTAATCAACACCCTGAGATGAATATGCATTGTACAACAATACAAAGCAGTCAGTGTGTGGTGTCTTCCCTAGATTGGAAAGGAATAAGGTCTTGAGGCGTGATATTGCTGTTGAGTTGTTTTATTCACCATACTTTATTTGCTCTTCCCAGCTACAAGTCTCTGGAAACTCTGCTGTTATACATGCTCAAGTAGTTATTCTTCTTTACTGCAGGTATGCTTCCGCTAAGCGATTTGGTCCGCAAAATCAAAGCAGAGCTGCAAGAAAGCCTGGTTGAGGGTGCAAAGTTGCAAGGGAAGAAGGATGGTTGTGTACATTCATGCAAGATAATCAAAGTTTTTGATGAGGAAGCAGGCAAAGGTCGTTATGAGGTGGCATGGCTTGATAATGATGACAAAATAAGTGGAACTGCTGTGGTAGGTGAAGAAGACTTTGTTCGTAAAAAACTTCCATTTGGGCGAGAGGTTCTAAAATCTTATATTAGGGAGTCTACATATCGGAGTCTTCCTTGGGTAATTCACAATAATTTGGCATCAAAGTATGGAATTCCTACTGATACACCCGAAGAATTAAAAGGCAAAATTTCTTTTTTGAATGGGTGCGTGATTAAGAACAAGAAGAGAAAGACTAGTAAGGTGAGAGAGTAACAACGGGCAACCCTCCCCACACACCCATCCTCCCTTTTCCTTGAATGTCTTTTGTTTGATGTGAGTTGTTAATGAACTTTTGTTTTCTTTGAAAATGATTAGGAACCCCAAGAAGGAAACGCTGGGAAACATAAAAAGAGCAAGATACAAACAGAGAATGGATTGCTCCGAGACAATGATCTGGAGAATGGTGGGTAACAGTGGATATAAAGCCATATTGTTCCTGTGGTACTTGGTTGCTCCATTAGGAGTTTTCATTTATTTTGTGGTTTGGTGCTGTTATAAATTTTAGGTAGATGGGTACATCTAGTAAAGACACTTCATGCTTCACTTGCATTTTTCACTATTCATGCTGAATATATCATTGTTTACAAGTTAACTATATCAATTGTCATTGCTGAAAATACAGGGGATGAATCCATCAAGTATCCAATTGATGACCAGCTTGTGGAGCCTGGTGCTGATGATCCAATTTTCACTGACCGTCCTACTCCATCAAGAGACTTCACCATTCAAATGGATTCTGTTGGAGATCTTTTATTAGTTTGGGATTTTTGTTCATCTTTTAGTAGGCTGCTCTACTTGTGGCCATTCTCTTTTGAAGATTTTGAAAAGGCAATATGCCACAAAGACAGCAATCTTACTCTTGTTGTGGAAACCCATGCAAGTCTTCTTCGCTTGCTTATGAATGACGAAGGACTATATTATATAGTGATCCAGCGTAAGAAGCGTAAACCAAAGGTCAAACATTAATCCTGCTTCTCTTAAAAGCATCTTTCCTCTATAATTAATTGGCATAATGCCTTTTTGTCCATATCGAGTAATTTGCATTTCAGGGATATCATATTTTGTTACTCATCATTTTTTTTATATTAATATTTTCAGATTACTCTAATTACATGGACAGAATATTTGTGTGATTTTCTTGAAATGATTGACATTTCTGAATTATCCACTCATATACCAACCATAAAACGTGGCCATTATGGGCTGCTAGAGCCTCCTATCAAATTGAGAATCTTGAAGGAATTAGTTGACCAAGCCATTGCCACTGATCTAGTGAGGGCGAAGATAGATGAGCGGCTCGAAGAACGACAGACACTTGCTGCTTCGAAAAGAGGTGAAGCATTAGAGGAAGGTAAGAAGAAGAGGGAGGCAAAAGAACGTCTAAAGGCTGTTTCTGAAGCCAATGGCATTGTGCTGGAGCAAAATTCAGGTACTGTTGAAGAAGTCTCATGTGTAGCAGGGAGTAATGGTGCTGGTTTAGAGAATGGACATGTTGCTGAATTGTCTTCTGAACAGAAAGACGTGTCTCAGAATGGGTTTGTCTCTTTTTTCTTATCAATGAAACATTCATGTAAAACTGGATGTATGTCTTGTGACATCTTCTGGGTTTATTGTAGTGAGAGTGGCCATAAAAACAGCGGACTGAGGGAAAAAACAAAGAAGCTATTGGAAGATCTGGAGAAGAGCAAAGACGAAAGGGTTTGTGTTTTTCTTTGTTTCTTTATCTTTAAAAAGTGCGTAGTGGGGACTGCCATATGGGCCTGCTCTCATAAGACCCTCCCCTAGAATCGAACTTCTACTACTGGGGCCAGTGATAATAGTCTAAATCACGATCTGTTTGCTTTGTTCTATATCTGTATGATGTTTGTGGTTGTCACTGTATGTTTAATATGAATGCATGGAAACCAGAATGTATGTGCTAGAGTTAAAAGAGCCTTTTTTTTTTTTTGGGTGTTACACTTAACTGATAATGTATCTCTGCTTTTACCTCAGAAAGATTTTCTTGAAAAGGAAATGGAGAAACGAGTTATTCGGACAAACTCCTTGGGCAAGGATAGAGATTATAACAGATATTGGTTTTTCCGGCGTGATGGGCGAGTATTTGTTGAGAGTTCTGACTCAAAGCAGTGGGGCTACTATTGCTGTAAAGAAGAGGTAATTTAAGTTTCTTACTTCATCCAAGAGTTTAAATTTCCCAATTAAACATTACTGTGAACCTCCTAAGGCACTTGTTGACTTGTTTTCTGTTCCTAGAACGTGGAGACTCATAGGTTGTGTTATTCATAAATATTTATGTTTGAAATACTACCTCCTTTTCATAATTGGAGTATAAGAAACACTTTTTGTAGGTTGAACTTTGACTGATAATTGCTCTCAAATATATATTAGTAAAAGTTATAAAAATTGTACCCTTGGATTTTGTGCAATGGATACACTTCCATGTTATCTTGCGAGAGAAATTAAGAGTCAAATTTGATCTTGAAAAATAGGGGTGCCAAGAAATTATGAAACGGAGGGAGTTTCTGTTTAGTGGGTATTAGAGAGAGAGAGAGAGAGAGAGCAAGCATGGCATACTTTTCTCAGCATTATTTATGGATATTGTTTCGGAACATCAAACTTGATCAATGTATTAAATATTTTAGAATGCATTTATCTAGGAGGATTTTGTTGCAAAGTTTGAGGAGTTTGCTGTTAGTCTATGTTCTACTGATGTAATTTTATGTTAATCCACAGCTTGATGCATTGATGGGTTCCTTGAATCCAAAGGGGGAGAGAGAAAGGGCTCTCAAAAAGCAGCTTGACAAGTATTATTCTAGAATAAGGTGAGTGATAAGTGATATCCATACAATCGTAATTGATCGACCTTTCCATGTGTTGTCCCCAAGCAGGTGGTAAACCTGCTTTGTTTGTGCAGTCACATCACATGCTAGCTATATTTAAGTGACTGTTGTGTCCTAGGTCTGGTTGTCTAAATTTCTATACTTTTTATCTAACAAAATTTCTTGCAGCAAGGAGTTGCAGAAGAGATCCAAAGACATTGCCCGGAGAACTGCAATTGAAGATGCAATTCTTAGAAGGTCCACTAGGGTGCGAGCTCCTCCCAAGGATAATCCTTCTTTGGCATTCCTGCAGTATTCCAATAAGTGGAAAGTTTTGATGGGATAGAGTTAGGGGGTGTACTACGTATACGTTTAAGCTAAACCCTCCTATCTAATTCAATAGATCACCCAGTGCTGCTTCTAATTTTGCACTGTTATGGACATGTAAAATTTGTTGATTCGGATTAAGGTGCTTCGTAGTTAATTTCATTGGAGGAAATATAATCAAGTTAGAGCTTTAGGACTTAGAGACCTCCCTATTTTTGAAAGACCCGCAAGGGTAGGTTCCGTGGGTATAGTAGTAGACTTCCTACCATGAGAGCATCAGTTTTTGTAAATGACTACGCCCATGATTCTTAATTAGAATTGACAATTATAGTGCATGTCAGATGTTCATAGCTATAAATATATTTGGTGCGAAATCTTTTGTACTTGGTGTTGACATAAAGGCACTTGACTAATGAAAAAACAAAGTTCAGGACAAAACAAAAGAAATTTAAGATTTCATTTCTCATGGCCTCATGGGGAAATTTTGCTAAAAGATGATGATTTAATCACAATTGTATAAATTTGCGAATTGTGATAGTTTGACAATAGTCTGGCTTTTCAACTGTCCCATAATAATAAGCACAACTTAAATGTGCACTTATTTTGTGGGCAAGTAAGGACTTACCAGTACAATATAACTTAATCTTCTTGTGATTAAAGCTCTTTAAGACCAAAATGGTCAAGTTAAGTTGCTATTGTTGATGATCTATATTCGGTTGTAGCTGGTAAGGGGCGCAAAATTCTGATGGGTTTGAAGGGTATCAAATTCTTCGGCGCCCATTGAGGATGGGTTGGTCCTCACTCCAACTCTCAAAGGTTTTTGAGGAACTCCCTTAAGTTGTGTGACTTGTGTAATTGTGTGCATCTTTTTGCCCATTTGTATATCGCGGCCAAACTAAGTGACCATGGGCAGGGAATTTTAGGGTCTTATTAAATAATATAAATCGTTAACTTCAAGCCTGAAAGCATTTTAGCACAAACAATCCCCTGAAAAGATTTTACAGCTAAAAAGGTTTTAGGAACATATCACACTTGTAAACCACCCAATTTACAACAATGTAGAACAAGTTATAATGCAGGTATCACTCTGCGATTAATGTATCCCATCAACTAAATTTACCACTGAAATTGAACGTACATGAAACTAGAGCCATGCCATTCACCAACCAATTTTATACTAACATTTGAGATACCCTGAATCCATTTCAAGAGCCATTACAAGCTAATACTTCATAAAATTAGTGTATCAAGCGCAGAAGGTTAAATTTTATTTTTATTTGTTGTTTGTTATCAGCAAACACTAAAGCTAAAAGACGAAAGAAGCTGATGAGGGTCTACAGCGACCCTATTCTTCCAGCAAGCAGTTGCTTCATGCGCTTGTTAAGATTCTAAGTAATTCACAGACATCTCTTTGATACATTCAGAATATACATGAAATTAGCTTCACAAACATCTTTTTATTTTTATTCTTTATTAATTTGACATCCACCCAGAGCTTCAAGTAATACTGATGACAGCACGACCAATGATGCTGCCCTGACTGAGATCTTTGTATGCCTTGTCTGCCTCCTCAAAGTTGTATATTTTTGAAACAGCTGAGCTGAGATTAAAGGCGCCTGTTTCTGCCAATTTGACTATCTTGGGTAGGTCCTGTCTAGCTCTAGCTCCATATGAACCAATAACTTTCACCTGTAGCTCAATATATAGAAATCAAGATGTATCAGCTACATAATTCACGGTAAAACTAGATGAATAGAAAAACTTCATATTTAAGTTGTGTGCAATACTACAAGGGTTGCTGGTTTAACCCTCTTGGGCTTGAGTTTAGGTTTGAAATACATTGTCTGGCCACTATAGTATTGCAGTTGGGGTATTGAATATTGATCAAGATGTTCAAAGTGGGGTGTGTTAGGTGAAGATTTTATAATGGTTTTCTGACAACCATAATAACCTTTTAATCTCAACTATCCATTATACGGAGTATAGTATATTTTCAATTTAACCATTTATTAATTTTCATTTTGTAAAAAATAAACAAAATACCCATCTTTTTTACTTGAGTAAAATTAACCATGGTGAATGCATTTGGGGAAATCCTACAAATAATAGCATGTTTGATAAGTGGTAAAAAATGGAGGTAATTGGAATGGAAGTTGTAACAGATGTTAATGATAATAAGTTAACAATTATTGGGAAGATAAGTCCTACAAATACCCTCTAGGTATTATTATGGTGGGATTAATAGCATGTTTGATAAGTGGTGAAAAATGCCCATTCCAAAGTAAATGGTAACTCATCCCAAATCATCTTTTACTTTTCGGCAACTTCTCATTTCCATCCATTACTAATCCGGGGAGGGGTGGGGGGAAATTGCGCCACGGTTTTAAATCTCAAATGCAATCATGATCACGGTACATCCGCAAAACCACTTTCGCATGCGATGCATGCAGTTCGCACCTACTTAAGCATGATAAATTTAGGGGAAAAAATAAACCTTTTGCAATGTGGTCATAGTTCGGTGATGTGGTCAATATTTAATATCATGGATTGCGACTATGGACATCAGGTTGTTACTTTGTTTGCAAAATTACATTTAGATTCACATTACCACTATTCAATACCGGCTATCAAAGGGGCTGTAAGGGATTTTTAATACTCATCCCAATCCCCAAAATTAATCCTGAGTCCCTTAAACAAACAAGGAAAATGCTCTTTTTGGGATTAGTATCCTATCTCCACCCTTTCTCTCTCTAAACAAAGCCCTGTATGGATATGATGGGAAGAAGGCAATATAATTTGGAGTTGTCGTGGAGATGGGGTGGCAGGGGAGTAGGCCGGGTTATATTTTCTTATTTTCTTTTCAATATAATTATTTCTATTGGCTGATCGATAAAACATACCCAAAATATATCACCTTTGGCCAACTATATGCTTACAGTAGATGAAGCACATATACATTTGTATATGTACTGCGGTGCTCAATCTCCTCATTTCAGAATTTCAATTTATTTATGCTTTTAGCCAATTTTCTTATTCCATTAATAGACAAACAGCAATAACTTCCAAACTAGCATGTTACACAAAACAATTTGTTAAACTACCAGATTAAATGTGCAACACACCTGTCTACGAACAAGACGATTTATATCAATCTCTCCTCTAGCCCTGGAATCTGCAAGACCAATCATGACAGCTTTTCCTCCATCACGAACACTTTGTGTGCACTGTTGGAAAGTTTGTGGTTTTCCCAGAGCCTCAATGGCAATGTCAACACCAGCTCCCCCAGTTATTTCCTGCACAGACAATTGGAAAACAGGTTCAGCGTAATAATCAAATAACCTTATCGTGAAATGCATGAAAACATTAGCACATTGATAATGAAATGAAAAGCTTTACATTCCTGTCAAAAAAAAAACAGAGAGAGAAAAGCTTTACATTAAATTTAATTTGACAGCATCTTAAGGCCGAAGTGAGAAAACAAGAGGATATACTAACACTTAAAATAATGCATATAGAACAAAATAACATGTGGACAAGAATAAAGTGTCCGAAAATTATCTGAGAAACGCCAACAGAACATTCAGAACTGAGTAGTTGTCAAGGGTCCCAGTAAGAATGTCCAAAATCACAGAAAATCAAATGCTTCGTATTTATGAATAAAATAATGCCAAAAAAACTCAACCAGCTTTATTTGATCACAAGACATCCATTGGAGCAACCATCATGAAAATTCTTAATCAGATGATAACTTTTTTGGCATAAACAGGAGGAAGTAGGATTAAGGTCATCATACTTTAAGAGTACGATGAATGTACAAACAGAATACAAACTGAGCATAGCTCACAGCCATAATCAAGAACCCATCTCAAAGAGAATTTGCAGGTCAACAATGTATAATGAAGAACAATATACTTCGGTATTTTTAATTGTGTCGTAGTCTAAAGCAGATCTGAATCTATAATGTAAAATGATAAAACCCAGTCTCAAATATGAAGACTTATGTGCACATGTAAACAAGTAGTCTCAAAGGCATATAAATTCATAAGCTAACAGAAGGAGTAAGTACATCACTTTAATTTTTTCAACTGCATCTTCTTTCAGAGCATTAACTGTGTGGGTGGCACCAACATCCTTAGCTTTCATGAGCTTTTCATCACTAATATCCACAGCAATGGTGGCAGAAGCACCAAAAGCACGGGCTATCTGCAAACAGCTGAGACATGCATCTATTGTCATATAATCCCATTCATCCAAAGTTGATCAGCAAAAAGATTAGTCAATAATTAAAATATAACAAAGTTGGTTATATTACAAGTGACTTACACTATGCATATACAATGAACTTCATTCTCAAGAATGAGAAGTCTAACAATTAACAAGAGCTTCTGAATCATAAATATGTTCTAGTGCAAGCATATTTAAATCTACCACAATAAGGTGGATCTGCCCTGCTACAATGGAGGAGCATTTTCAAGTGAAGTATGCAACTCTTGGGACTTAGAAGAACTATGGAGGAGAAGAACAATCCCTGGATAAATGCAGTCTTTTGATGTCTACAAATACACTATTGATGTGTGGAAGTAACTAAGTGAGTGGTTTTTTTTCTTCTTTACGCACAAATCAGCTAAGTTCTACATAGGAGTCGGTAAGGGAATTACACTTTATTTCATTACCGGCAACTAAATATTCTCGGAGTTGTAGATTTCACCCCTTCCCTTTTAACATAAGAATTTTTATTTAAAAGAAATTATCCTTCTGTGCATAGCTAGTTAGTATTGCTTTAGGGCACGGAGACTATGGGGGAAGAAAAGTGTCAGAAAATAAGGTGGGTAAGTGTGGGCCCCACTTTTGTGAAAATAGTATTGAGAAAAATTACTAACGAAAGGTTGTATGTTAACTTAGCACTAAGACACACCAAGATGATACCCCATATGTGAATAGTTTAATAGGTTGAATTGTCCCACGCATTTGCTCTCCTACAAATAAACCAGATAAATAGCAGTTTTACAGTAACCATGCAAGCAACTAAGTACCCATTCAGACTTACAGTAACCATGCAAGCAACCAAGATTTTAGAATCAAGTCGGCCAGGCCAGTTCAAGAACAAGAGAGACACTATTGAAGATGACGATCTTATAGATGAACCTAATTGTATGAAACCAAGAAATCCAGCATACAAAATATAACTACTCCTTAGCGACAAACTGCACTAAACGAAAATTTCTGACTCATACCTGGAGCCAACGCCTCCAATACCAATCACAGCAACAGAATCCCCACCACGCATTTCAGCAGCATGAACCATAGCACCATAAGCAGTGAATACTGCACAGCCTAAAATTGCTGACTCGGTATATGGCAATGTGTCCGGCAGCACAGTTACGCCATGAACTGGAATTACACAGTATTCTGCAAGGCCTCCCATGCTGTACATGTACACTGGTTTCCCTGCAAAGGTTGACACCTTAAATAATCAGTCACATGCAGATTGTTGAGTAGAAACTTAAGTTATGCATCTGCAGTGGGAGATGAAACTTGCTAAGAGACTTAACAAGTTCATACTCGCAATAAGGAGCACTCTGTTTTAAATTACTACGTAAATAAAAGTAAGGGTATTTTAGTTATTTAGGAAACCAATCCACGTAAGAGTTGACTTAGGTATATTAGAGATACCTAACTCAGTGAGCTCCCATGGATGCTGAATCCAATTGCTAACCTCATGACAAGAAACTAATAATGGGTTTCAAGCTTCTAACATTTCAGGTGAGCAAGAGGTTATCGTAGAGTAAAGGAGGTATTGCATGTTGCATATCTAATAAGCTGTGAGATCAGACAGTGCTTGACATCATGGGTACTTATTCTCAAAGGGGAAGACTATATGGAAATTGTTTGCCAACTTATCAATATGGCAATTTGGCAGAAAATAACAGATAATGTCTCTTTTCATAAAATATATGCATGTCAACATAAAGAAAATAAAAATTGCATAGAATGGGGCCTACCAAAAATCAAGTATGGTGAACCAAAAAGAAATTCAACAGACACACTAAAGAGCACCCTATGAGGAGTGCATTACTTTATCCCATAAAGAGGCTGGAAAAATTTCCGGACCAAGAAAATTCTACCAGTGCTCTCCAACTAAGCGCTCACACAATTCACCTTCCAAACCTCAATGTTTTGTATTAGTAGATAACCCAAAATAATAAATGAGAAGCACATTGCCTTACCAAAGTTAAAAGTCTCTGTAAAGAAAAGTTGCTGCCTACAATGCACAAAAAAAAAGAAAAAAAAAAAAGAAATGATTCTGTCTCCTCACTAGAATGAGATAAACTGCATATGTGAGAACATAATGCCCTGTTTGGCCTCCAAACTCTCAAATTCTCACTATTAGTAAATTTTCTTAAGCTAGCAACCCAGAAAATACTTTCACCCACTTCAGAAATCAGAACCTTAGTCTTCCAAACATAGGTAGAACGAGAGATTCAAAATTTGGAGTTGTTTCAATGTAGTTAAAATTTAAAAGGAAAGACAACTATCCTATCATCTATCTTGGAAAATCTGAAAATAAACAGATTCAATGCTTCACAGTTACTCCGTAATAAGCTCTCCTAACTCCTAGTAATGACTCATAGATGTCCCTCCTAATTACTCCCTACATTTCGTAATAATCGCAACACTTTCTTTTTACATCTTTTTCATAATAATTGCAACACTTATGTGTTTGGTAAGAACCTACTACTATTTTATTATATCTCTCTCCTACCAACCCCACTCACTCTACTTTTTTTTTTTTTTTATTATTATTTTTTTAATTATTTCTCTATCCTACGAAATATATTTATATTTTTTAAAAAAATTCCCTACCCCATAATTATCCTAAAAATTTGTGCAATGTCTAGTGTTGCAATTATTACGAAATAGAGGGAGTAAATATTTGAGCAAAAAAAAAAAATAAAAGAAAAAATAAAAAAAAATTGCTACAAATATCACCCATAAACAGCATTGAGGATTTTTTTTTGAAAAAAAATGGAAGTTGGCAGTAAACATTAAACTCTTGTTAAAACATAGAAGCTTGAAGTAAAATGATACTGTAATGTTTGGTAACGATGACACTACTCACCATTGCTTCTAAGGAATAGCCGTGTTTCACCATCGTAAAGAGTTCCTTTTGCTCGATTATATGCAAAGAAATCCTCACAGAGATCATCTTGCCCCTATTTTGCATAAAAATATGTAAGTAGCAAAACATACAATTAAAAGAAAGTTTTTGAAAAAAACAACAACAACATTGTATCTACCTTTGAACAAAAGGAACAGTTACCACAAGGCATGATAAAAGCTCCAACAACATGTGATCCAATAGGACATCTGCGAAATTAAGTATTGCTCGCAGCTATTGTCAAGTCTATACATAAGAAATCACACATTATGCATCGCACCATGGATTCTATCATATAGCATATTGAAAAAATACTCATAATTTGAAAATTAAAATAACATATCAGTAAGAAGTTAAGAACATGGCTAATCAACCTTTGCATAATTCTGCTATCGGTAAGAGGACCATGTTCTACAATTTCACCCGTGATCTCATGGCCAAGAATGCAAGGGCTGGCAAATGGAAGTTCACCTTTTATCACATGAAGATCAGAGTGGCATACTCCACATGCTGCACACAGTAATGTCAGAACAAGTCCATTAATTTCTCTTCACTCAACCTTACCAAGCCTTTAAAAATACAAATTATATACCCCTTCCTCCTATCACATACAAGCATAGCTAGATACATAATAATATCAGATACTTCGTTATAATCCTAATTAACTTTTACAGTACTAGGATGGCTAATGCACGCCGCACACCATAGCTAGTCACGTTCAAGATGCTCTTTCGGCTTTACCTTATGTCACAAAGTTAGGTGTTGACAACAATAATGAGGGAAAACATGTAAACAAATATTTGTAGAGGTATTAATGTCCGCACACTATTAATAAGAGTTTGCTTGAACTTTTTAAAAGGTAAGTATTTGAGATGTAGTTTCTATCTTTGACAGTAATGTTTTCTTGTTGTAAATAATTAATGATAATACAAATAACTTCGCAAAGTTTGATTAGACCCAAAAAAATCAAACGAAGGTCACAGTAAAATGTATTTACTTTTCATTAAGTTGATTTTGGGACGAATATGGAGCAATAATTAACAGTTGCAAAATAAAAAACGCTACAACACCTATTTCGAAGAACTGGCTCATTAAAAACACATTTCAGAAGCCTTTTCTTAGTTTTCTCAAACACAAATCATACATTTCTTGATATATGCATCATTTCTATTTACCTTCACTCTATTTTTTATTATTTTATTATTATTTTTATTTTTTGGAAAATTCATAGAAAAAAGCTAAAATCAAAGACCATCAAATCACAAACACAAACAAGTAAGATTTAAAATAACAAATAAATAAATAATTACCCATTGCATGTAATTTTCTTAATTCATTTATGCTGAAATTCATACAACAAAAATAATCTAAAAATGAAATTAGATGAAATGACAAAAACCCAACAAAATAAAATAATAAAAAAAGAAGTATAGAAAATTAAATACCCTTGGTTTTAACGAGAATTTCATTAGCTTTAGGACGAGGCATTTGAAAATCTTCAATAACAAGAGGTTGATCTGGTTTCGTAAACATGACGCCTCTCATGAACGAAGCTCCAGCACCACTCACATTATAAGACGACGAAGAAAACGAAGCAGAAGAAGGAGGAGAAATCATTTGCGATGAAGAACAAGAGCTTGAAGAATGATGATTAATGGAAGTATTAGTGAAAATTGATCTACAAATTAGAGATGGGTTTGAAATCATTCTTTTGATGATTGATTTGCGGGTAATTAACGCCATTGAAATTGGGAATTAAAAATTTGCGGTTGAATTAGGGTTTGAATTGGGATTAATTTGAAGATTTTTGATGAATGATAATGGTGGTAAGAGAGATAAAGAGTTGGTAAGAAGAAGGTTGATAAAAAAATAGAGTAGAGTAAGTGATATTATATAATTATGAAATTATATTTATATTAAAAGTTTAGGATGAGGATTGAATTGATGATTGTACTATGATTAAGACATATTTTATTTTCTGACAAGGTGGGTTATACTGTTATAGCTTCTAAGTTCCAACCAACTAGTCGGGAGCTCGGGACTACAGTTAAAGCAACTAGATACTTTGACTGATAACCCTATGCAAATTCTAGATTAAGACGAACTTTTATTAAGTTATTAGATTAGTCTCGTGCGATGTATGATATAAACAAATAAATTGTCTAAATTTGTTTATTTTTCATACCAAAATTTAAAAAAAAAAATCAAAACAAAAATACATCAAATATTAATAAACAAATTAGAGCTCACAGAAAAATTGAATAATGAAAAGGGTACTTGAAGATGAAAAATCAAATTAGAATTTTTAGAGAGAATAGACCGTTCTTCGGAAATTGATAATAATAATAATAATAATAATAATAATAATAATAATAATTATTATTATTATTATTATTATTATTATTATTATTATTATAAATAATCAAAATTTAATAAAAAAAATAAAAATCTTAATGTGATGACATCATTTATAGTTTTGGAGGTAAACTTTTTAATGACAACATGTCATGTATTTAATTTTAGGATAGGATGATATCAGTGATTGCAATTTTAGTATTAGTTATAAATTGTAAAAGGGTTAAAGTTACTCTAAAATTATTTAAAGTTACTACTACAAAAGTTAGCATTTTCCTTATATAAATATTACCATTTAAAAACACTTATAATGTATTAGATTAATTATATTAGTCTTCACAGCATGAATCTGTAAACACAAATTTTAAACATGTAAAATATAGACTCAAAATAAAAAGTGTTAATTTTATTAATTTGATAATTTCTGGGTACAATTTCTAATTTGATCCTCTGATTCAATCTCCAATTTGACTTTGATGTAATTAATTAACAGACTGACCTTGAATTCTTAATTGAGGGCCGACGAGGCTTGATCTTTATCGAAGATATTTGATGCAGACCAGACTTGGAAAACGGGTCGTTTGAGTCGGGTATGGGTTGGGTCAGTTCGGGTCGAGTCAATTTCAGGTCAATCAATATTCGGGTCGAGTTCGGGTCGGATTGGGTCAATTCGAGTTTTGGGTCAATGGTAATTCGGGTTGGGTCAGGTCGAGTTTGGGTGGGTCAATTCGGGTATCGGGTTAACTTCGGGTCGGGTCAATTCTGGTATCGGGTCAAATTCGAATCAACTCCACTTCGGGTCGGGTATGGGTCGGGTCGGGTCAGTTTCGTGTTCAGGTTAATTTTAGGTTTACGTTTTCGGGTCGGGTCGGGTCAAGATTGCAGGTCTAATGCAAACCTTTGACTTGAATTCTTGATTGAGGGCCAATCGATGAGGCTTGATCTCGATCAAAGATTGTTGACGTAGAGGTTGAACCGTACTTGATGTTCCGAAGTTCTTCTTTTCTCCCTTGTTGAGGGTCGTGGAGGTTTGATCTCGTCCAAGGATGGTTTTCTAGAGTAGAAAGGCACGCATATGCTTGTTGTTATTCTTCTAAGCTATGAGAGGTTTTCTCTTGAGAGTTTTAAAGATTTCTGAGAGGTTTTCTCTGGAAAGTTTTAGAGACTTCTGAGAGGTTTTCTAATTCTCTTCATTTCCTCCTCCTTAAATGAATAAAGAGCCTCTATTTATAGAGTAAAGACAACCTAGGGTTAGGTTTTGATGTATATTGGATGTTGGGCTTGACAATCATATAAACCAAATCAAAATGGGCTAATATTTAATATGCTCACCCAATTAATTTACTTCAATTAAATGTCAAATAACCAATTAGTCAATAATTTGACTTTTGACTCACATAATATCCAGCGTGGCACTTAATTAAAATTTTCGTGCCTACATTATCTATTAAAAATTAAACATTAAAATACAATCAAACTGAATACAAATTAAAAGTTACTCTTAAAGGGATTAAATTTATCATAAAAATTGTTAAAGTTACCCTTGAATTGACCTTTTAAAATAAAATTAACGTAAACCCGCCGCCTTACAAGACTTATTGATCATCCTAACACAAGAAAATAAAAAGGGGGTGTGGGTACAACATTCATATCATGTTAAGGAGAACAAATTGTCATTAAATGATTAGAGCTCTTTCCTTTATGCTTCTTGGACCTGCAGAAACAATACCAAGGATTTTTTTTTTTTTTTTTTACCCTTTTTGCTCTTCACCTTTGACCTACGTGGCCTTCCATGTTTTCCTGGTCTTGGAGGAGAACTTGAAGGTAGTGGATGTGGAAGTAGAAGGCACTTGGTTGATTACAAGAGGCATTGGGTCAGCTTCATTAGAACATATAAATTCCACTTTATAAATAAATTAGTGGTAGAAAAGTCACTCACATGAACTTCACTCCTATCCTCGATGCTTGAACCTTCTTTGTTATTATCAGTTAGGCTTGAAAGCATAGCCTCATCTAACTCCTCGATAGTAGTAGTGTTAGGCTTTCCAAATTTAGTATTAGCAACTACTCTGTGTTAATGTACTGGATAATATCATTCATAGTCTAATGATATGATTAATTGTTTGGATGATGTCTTTAAGTGTGTATGTAGGCTGGCTAATATAATTAATTGACTAGATTGACATGATTAATTGTCTAAATGATATGATTAGTTGTCTTAATAATATTAGTAGTCGTGGTTAGATGATATTAATTAAATTCTAAAAAAATTGTCTTAGCTGGATGATATCATTAATTGCCTGGATGTTATGATTAATTGTTTGGATGATATCTTTAGTGTCTAGGCTGAATGATAAAATTAGTTGGCTAGATGACATGGTTAATTGTTTGGAAGATATGGTTAATTATTTGGATGATACTTTAAATGTCTAGTCTGGATAATTTTAGAGAGATAATTTCTGGAAAACTAAAGTTTTAAAAAAAGCTTTACCATTAAATGCGGGGTAAAAATATATAGTAATTTAATTTTACGAGATATAGTAATTATCTTTTGCTTATCTATAACTCTTTAAAAGTCACAACTTGCAAATAAGGATTGCTCCTTATGAATAGTGTGAACCCTATTTTGCCCTCACTTTTAACCAACAAAAAAAGTCCAATTACTTCTTTGTCCTTAGCTAACATTTGCTGATTTCTTTTGCAGTGGCCAACTCAGCATTTTCTTCCTGGCTTGTGTAGTGCGTGGCTTCCCTCATGCAAGTGTCAAGTGACAGTTCAAAGTGCTATGTATTAGTGGAATTGTAGATTTCTAATTATTTACATTTACTTTTGTAATCTTTTGCTATTAAGTTTAATTATTATGAGCTCATTTCATTTGTAATTTTATGCTACTAATTTTTATCGTTGTGGATTAGTGGAATAGTATTTGTCTAATTATTTGCATTTCATTTTGTAAATTTTTGATATTAGGTTCAATCGGTGTGAGTGAATGTCATTTGTAATTAATCTTTTGCTATTAAGTTTAATCATTATGAGAGTTGAATTGTATTGTCTAATTATTTGCATTTCATTTTTGTAATTTTTTGCTGTTAAGTTCAACTGGTGTGATGAATGTCATTTGTAATTTTTTTCTATTAAATTTTATCATTGTGGATTAATTTTTGATTTTACAAGACCACAAGTTTTTTCTTTGCTATTAAGGTTTATCATTGTGGATTAATTTTGTTCCACTGCATGTTTTGTGTTTCACATTAGCTTTGATGTTGCAAGGTGCTAAATATTTTAGATAAATTAGTTTTAAGTTTTGCAAGGTGCTAAATATTTTAGATAAATTAGTTTTAAGTTTTGCAAGGACTTATTATGCTATTTCCTGGTGGTTATTCGAATTATTCAGTGGTTCTTTCGTTGCATTGGATTATAATGGCTAGCTCTTTGTTGGTAATGACAAAAGGAACTCAGATTTACTTTTTCTTTCACATCTTAAGTTGAGTTTGATAGATTTGGCTTTGTTGGGTTGTAGCATGTTGGGTTTGTATTGGTTAATTTATGGACTAGCGTTTATTATGCCTTGCAAGTTGTGTTCCATTGCCAATTTGAAGGCTATAAAAGGGGGCAGAAGTTAGAGTTCTTCTTTGCAAACATAGCAGGATTTTTCAAGGGAGAAAACCTATATTTAAGGTAGCCCTTTCTTGCTTTGTTTGCAAATTTGAACTCTAATTCAAAATGTTTTGTAGTGTAATATGAACATGTCCAGAATTGCTAGAATTGTATAGTCTGCTTGGATTAATCAAACTAGATGTTCATACACGAATTAAATACAGACAACTTTACATATATCAACAATAATCGCTATGATCAAAGACTTATACGAATAAACACTGTGATCAAAGACTTTTGTAAGACAAACTAGCATTAAATTTCAACATTGCTTTGTGTTAATGGAACTTAGACAATGTTTGTTTTCTCCTTTGAAAGTTGTATTCGCAAATCATATCCTTATACTGGGTTAAATGTGGAAAAAAAAAGTCTACATTCTTCTAATTTGGTGTTGTTTTGTAAATGGTATGGCATTAATATGTATGGTATTAGTATAGGGTCCACCATGGTCGCGTGGTGGTAATTATAGGACTTTTATTAATGGAGTTTTGTGTTATGTTTTTGATATTTGTAGCTGGGAATATGTTTCATTCCATTTTACTATAGGAATGTAGGTGTTACAAATTTTATGTTGATTGTATATGTCTTGTTGTGATGTTTTCTGTTTTAGTTTCATGGCTATTTTGGTTAGGTTGTCTTCTTTTCTAGTTTCATAACTATTAGTGTCCTGTTTCTTAGGTATTATTGATCTGTGCCATTTTTTTGTGACTTCCCTTGTGTAGAAATAACAACCCCAGGGGTTGCATAGTTGTTGCTGTTACACAACCTACTGTAAGTATTAACTGCTTTTGTTATATAGTAGCACTACTCATGCATGCTTTGAAGCTGTTCTTAGTTGTTTGGTAGCTCTATGAGATGCATGTTTAGGCT